CGCGGAGGTTCACAAACAGATGGATTCATAATCATTATTTTGTCTATTCGTGGTTCATTTAACGACGCTGACAGTAGCTCAGAGTGTACAGCGGCGAATGATACGACGGTTAATGAATTGTGAGGGATATGGATACAATCCCATAATTTGTCGGAAGGGACTGAGGAAAATCATGAAAGACTTGAGTCAGGATAGCCGGACTCCGTCCCGAGATTTGAGCCCAGATCTCTCGAATACGAAGATAGACCAGTATCACGTTTGCACAATTATATGATGAAGTGGATAGAATATGGATTGCATAAACATCTCAACCTACGAGAATTGTTTGTAACAATTCTGGATCCGTTTAATATGTAGGCGAACATAAACTTAAAATTTTATTTCGGGCGTCAGTTAAAATGTCAACTTTTATTTGTCGACATTATTTAAACATGAAAAAGAGATTGCTTCAGTTTTTGTTGTCTAATGGTTTTGGCACGCAAGTTCAATTGATATTTTACATTCATCCACCCACATCCCACACAGACATGTACAAATTTTCTTACAGTCAACATAAAACTTTTGATATCTGTTTTTTCTGACGTAGAATAAAGTACAGCAGGTTTCTATAGTGGTGAAATCAAGTAATAGTGCATTCGAGTCTTTTCATTGTAATCCCGTTCACCAGACACAACCGATTCGACCTTAGATATTTATTTTTTTTACACGGATTTGGCATGGCTTCAAGACTAATAGTAAAAGTGTGATATTAAAAACAAAACAGGAAAGTAAAATGATTTAGTCATGTTGTCACTCAAATGCCACTTGTTTTCATCGTTCAACTCTAGATCCATGCACGCGCAGACTTGGTCCTGTGAAGGAAGCCAGCCAACTCTCTCTTCCTACTGCCTGCTAAAGGAATTAGCGTAGGCAGCTTGCTTCGGTTAATATAGTGTTTCTTATTATTGAACAGCACTATTTTGTGACGCATTTAAATTACGGGAATTATGTTCCCTTTCACGTTTGGTACATATAATGTGCCCAAGAAATTGTGTTCCTCTTTCGTAACGTTGACCTTACCGCCAGAATGGACGACATAATCGTAATAACAAGAGAGCTAATAGATTATTCTAAAACGTATCGCAGTTTAGATATTTGGCAACTACAGTAAGTGTTAAAAGAAGTGAGTGGCACGTAAATCACTTAACCGAGACAGTTTTTTCGCGTCACTTTTACTTTTATTTTGGTATTTTGTGTGAAGCAGTTGGTTACACTGTTGTGACACGTGAAAATTGTTTGTATTCGTTTCATTATTTTTTTATTATCCATGTAAAGTGATTAAATATAAATTTTCGTTAACAGCATGGGTAGGGTCGTAGTAAAGCGAGTTACGAATTACACTGTTTAGTCTTCCGGTTTGTGACGTCATGTCTTCTTTTAAGTGGCTGCCGACGTTTTGGAGGAACGTATCGCCTCCTTCTTTTGGGTCGATGGGAACGTAATATGAATTGACGTTCGTATGACAGAACGGAAATTCGTAAATTTTTCGTCTGTCTGTGGCCTCAATCGGGCACTTGCACTGAACTTCAGTTAGTATGTTCGATTGTTTCCATGGAAACGTCTGCCTTGTGTTTTGTATCATAACCCAGTTGCGTTGGGCGACGTTCGAATTTATAACTTGTGTTGGGCAAGGCCGTGGTCTAGGCAACACGGAGTTTTCCTCCGGGGGCTTCCCCGGTTTCTCCGTGGCATCCATTCACACACAGAAGAAGGCAATGGCAAACCACTTCTGGATCATCTGCCAAGAACGTATATGAACAGGTCCCAGTCCGAGAAAAGGATGGAAGGATCCTGCTCATATGGACCTGTCATTAGACAGAACACTAAAATAAATAAATACTTTGTAATAGATAGGAAAGAAGTCTTTTCACACCCGCGTGGTTCGCTGCTGGTTCGCGTTGTAATCAATTATTCTGGTTTATACGGCTACTAATATACCCAGCTGCTACTGAATGACATCTACAAATTTTTCTTTATTTCCTATTAGCGACAAAATAATTTTAGTTGGATGTTAGTCGCGACTGATTTATTATTCCTTTTGCGGGTTGTATGAGACCAGTTGACTGGTGACGGAAAAGAAGAATTGCAAATATGGAATAAGTGCTGCATCTTTAGAAATGCGTGCCGGATCTGCGTTACAAATCCATTCCGCATTATGAAGATCAGTTTGTCAATGTTTAGAAAATTATCTCCGCTTATTCTGAGAATCATACGAAACTCATAAATATGATGTGGTGAATGTTAATTTAAATGCCATGGAAGTTGCCATTGTGTTTCAAAGTTTTGCCATGCTCCTGTGTATTATATTAAGTTGTTCAGTGTGAATGGTTTTGACGAAGTAAAAAAGACATGAATTTTTATTTGCGAATAAATATATTTTAACGTGCTAGTGATTAGGAGAACTTTACAGGGAACGTACGGTAGTCGGGGCGAATTAGTGCGTTCGACGTCCGTTAAAGTGAAAGACAGGGGAATCGGAAGGGCGAAAGGGGTATCAGGGGTACTATCCAAACGATAAACATTGTTTCCAAGCGGCATTACTTTGTAACTCGCTGTCTCAATTCCTGTGTCGGTAATGTCGTTGGGTTGCGTAGTATTGACGTAGGAGAAACGCACTGTTTGGTCCCGTCCCACCGTCTCTTGATGCAGTAACACTTACCTCTTGCTCGAACCAGAGTTCAACAATGTTTACATCACACACAGTTTGTGCAATTACGTCATTTTACTTAACAAATATTCTTAATTGCACCCATTACGTCACGTATGGAGATTAGAGTTGCAGCTTCTTTATTCGAAATTGTTGAGAACTTCCCTCATGACCTTGAGTCGTGAAAAGGTTTGCGCTGTAATCACGAAGTCGGTCTGTGTCTTACAAAGTCGTTTTTGGATTTCTGACATAGTTCTTTGTTGCTGTACGAACGAGAGCATAAAGCTGTATTCGTCTTTGGAGTACTGGTATTTTATAAACATCTTTTGTGTTATCACCGATAAGTCTACTGGTGAAAGTGTCACTCACAGTGCTGATGATAAAATCAGTAAATCAGTAACATCGTTAAATAACCCAAGAGTTAATTATTGAATACTACGTTTGAGCGTTTGATAAGAAGGGATTTTTATAGTAAAGGCTGTCATGTATTTAACAAAGATACTGAATTTTTACTGCTATTTTGAATGTTTATAAATGTTTAATTCGCCGATCGCTCGGTTCTAAATGAATGTATAAAGAAGTGTTTAGTTATTCTCCTGCAGAAAGAATTATGTTGACAGTGAAATGCTGAATTCATCATCGCAGCGAACTGCTTTGTGAGTCCGTATTGTAAATATTCCAAGTTTAAATCAACGCTGTGAAAGTTAAACAAACATCTAAAGGCTCCCGACATCTGCTGAACAAAGCATGTACGGTGCTAGACATTAGAATCAAATTGGAAACTCATAGGCTAATACAGTATAAATTTATTTCTCATGTGGGTTGCGTTGTTATTCCTCAGTAAGTTTAGATTTGGTCGCTTCGTTCACATGCGGTTTAGAACAGGGTAAAATAATTCAGGACCTACAGAATTACACAGACACAATTCCTCAGCCTGTCAACTCTCGAAGCATTTGTCTACATACAGACAGCTTCCATTAGTTTATAGTCCGGTGGGTATTAATCGACAAAATAAGAAGTACAACCCCCCGCTGGAACACGATTCATGCTGACAGGTTCTATTTTTAGTGTGTGATCACTGCCGAAAACACCTGAAGCAATGCTTTTCTAATGACATCCTTCTTTGCACTCGTAAACAGGCCCCACTCCTGTATCTTCATATTGCGATTGAGTGGATCTGTAGCTAAAGAAATCAATGGGACAAGATGCCCTTCGCGGCATTTGAAGTATTAAATCGTGACATTCGGGTGTTTGCTGTATCCGTTATCAGGTAGACGATGGAGGCAGCAAGCACCTGTGAAATATCGGCACATTTCTGCCAGACTACGTGGCGCAAAATCGCAGAAGACTATCATTTTTATATTACTCGCTGTTAGAATCTTAAATCTTAATTTTTTCCGTTTCCAAAGTACTTGTTCACTCGAAAACACAATTCGCCATTTTGTAGTAACACACATTTGTTATCGCCACAATAACAGACAAATTGAACGTCACTGCCGAGTGGTTAGTACTCCTATTTCGTATTCGGGAGGTACCGGGTTCAAATTTCGGTACGGGCTGACTCATGACAGAAGTTTTTTTCATTTTCTCCAAATTTTGAACTTTACATTAGGCCACGACCACTTCTTTACATATCGTTTCGTAAGTGGTAAAGACGTTAGCATTACAACTTGAAGGTCGTCCTTGAAATTGACGGATCCACAGAGTTACAACCACGTGTTTTGCCATGCAAACTTTCTATACAGTAACAGAAATAATAACAATAATTCAGTTCACTTATTAAAATTCTTGACAGTAACAAATAAGACAAATTATAGTCAAGTATAGAAAAAATACGGTATTCTGAAAAGCAAACAATACAGTACAATAAAATCTACCAGGGGCGAATTGTTCATGGTAACCGTGTTAGCCCGGTTAACATTAATAAAACTAAACATAAGTATTGTGTTTTGTTTTAATAGTTTATTGGTACTCCATACATCGAAACACGGCAGAACTAATAAGATAAAATGCATCGTTTCGGTGTATGGACTTTCCAGACACTGCTCTGTAATGATCTTCAGATGCAATTTTACTCCTGACTGGGAACTTACCCACGAATGCCATTACTTCGATTTCTTGTCGAAGCTGGTCTTTCTTCGTCTTGTGGACGTGTAGGAGATACCAGCGTTTCGAAGGAACATACTGCCTCCATCATCAGAGCACACGGCACTACTAACCCGAAGACCAACACGTACATCTTCACCGCCATGAGAACCTTATATTTCGTGTTTGTTTTCCACGTTTCATGTGTATTAGCATATGCTGCTTGCAGGTCGATCCCATGACAAGTCCTTCGCTCTGTTTCGCGTTGGAGTTACGGCTAGCGACGGTCTGAAGACGTTCTGTGAAACAGGGCAGTCTGACGGCTTGGAGGCGCAGAGTCAGGGTGAAGGAGGTGTGTTTGATGAATTCAACGGTCCAGCTATTTCTACAGGGCAGGGGAACTCTCGAACCGAATTCTTCGTGGACGGAAACCACACCAAGGTGAGTGAGTACAGCAGCGTTACTGGTAGGTCCATGATTCTGCATCCCTTTCTCAAGGAGTAGACAATCACTGAGTGGTAGCAATGTTGACGTAGGAGCATTATATTGGACATTGCTGCTCACCTCTGAAACGTCGGTTAACTTTTATCAGACTACGCTGCATAACAACACAGAAGACAACCATCTTCATTCTCGCCACCGTTGAGACCAGAAATGTCAATTTCCTGCATGTCCAAGACTTAATATTACAGGGAAAGAAGTAGATAAGAAGAAATCATTCTTACATGGGCTGGATGGAGAGAATAAGAACAGAGGATTCTTAAAGAAACCGCAAGTAGAGAATATTTTTTGGGGTCTTGAACGTATGTTCCATAACCTGAACGTTTATTTCTTTCTCAGGTCTCTGTTGCCGTTCGGATCGTACCTTCTCCTGACTGGTTCGTGGGACTTGACAGCTTGGAGTTGTGTAAAAATGGATTTTGGATTGATGCTCTATCGGTTCAGGTAATAAATTGGAGCTTACGACGCCTATTTTCCTTTGAAACTCTTAAGCCTGTACGGTGACTATGGACTGGACAAAATATCATTCCCAATATTTACTTAGTTGACAGACATCTTGAGTTTGGTGACGTGTTGAGAAGTAGGTTCTTGTTTCAGGCGGGTCCGATGGATGCCGGTACAGACAGTGGGTTCACATTTACAGCACCTAACTGGCCAAGTGAACCACGGCAGAAGATCAGCCACATTACAGCGCAAGAGCCCAGCCATCCCGCCAACTCATTCCATTACCCCGACAAGAAACGACTACCGCCCATCGCAACCTTCCATTTCCACAAGGTGAGAGGAGCCTCAGGTTTAGTTTGTCTTCGTCAGAGAATCAAATTAACTTGGAATCTTTCACATTTCATATCAGATCCTTAACGGAAGTGTCGGGGGGG